AGCCAGCTCTTAGAGTGGGGCCAGGAGGCATCCAGTGTCATCAGTGGAACCACTGCTTAGAAATCAGCTTTCTACCTTAGTTTTTCTACCTTTTCTACCTTTCTGCCGTAGTTTTTGCTTTTGACTGCAGTGCAGAGGATCAGCTACATTTCTGCACACGTACTCGTACTGTCATAACCCGTCCTCAGCATGGGTACATAGATGCAAACTCACACATGGGCCAGGAGGCATCCAGTGTCATCAGTGGAACCACTGCTTAGAAATCAGCTTTCTACCTTAGTTTTTCTACCTTTTCTACCTTTCTGCCGTAGTTTTTGCTTTTGACTGCAGTGCAGAGGATCAGCTACATTTCTGCACACGTACTCGTACTGTCATAACCCGTCCTCAGCATGGGTACATAGATGCAAACTCACACATTGTGCATTCAGACTGTGTACATCTACCTGGGTACTAACCTGATTAGCATGTGTAATTAATGGAGTAGTGTGTGTAGATGTCATTGTCTTCAGACAGATGCTGGTTCCTTCTTTCCTGTGCACAAGAAATATGCACATATTCACAGAGACCTACACTATGAACCACATCTGAGAAATGCACAATAAAGTTAACATCTAAGCATTACACTTAATCAATATAAACCATCTAATAGTAGTAGAAGCCATCTGAGGTGAAAGCAGGTAATTCTATCTAGTGTGATTAGAACAAAGACGTATCTAAATGCGATCAGATGTTTTTCTCTTCTCTTACAGTCCGTGTGTCACTAGAGTGATTCAGATCGAGCCGCAGGCCTATGCGGAGAACGACAACACTTGCTACAGTCCTCCACCCCCGTACAGCAGTCACAGCTTTGCACATGAAACTCAGATTACAATGCAGTCCACAGTGCAGCTGCGCACAGAGTACGATCCTCATACGCAGGTGTACTACACCACAGCAGAGCCTCGCTCAGAAATATCTGTGCAGCCAGTGACAGTGACGCAAGATAACCTGACCTGCCAGAGCCCAGAAAGCACAAGCTCGACGAGGGATTTGCTTTCCCAATTCTCAGACTCAAGTATTCACTGCCTTGAGCCACCCTGTACGAAGTGGACACTCTCATCTTTTGCGGAAAAGCATTATGCTCCATTTCTCCTGAAACCAAAAGCAAAGGTAATCAGGGAACTATTTACCTGTTTTTCAAAAATAGGCTTCTGCCTTGCCCAGTGATAAAGCTATCCTGGCAGTGTATTAAATATAAGGAATGAATATGATTCTTATGGTAGAACAGTTCTTAATAATTTTGCAGCTGATTTCTTACTTTAAAAGTTTTATCTTTGTGCTGTAGAGACATACTTTCAAATGTAGGTTACAGGTGAGGGTTTTGATGACTTTCAGTAATATAAGCTTGTGAATAGTGAGATTAAAGCCACTTTTAAACTTGGATACAATATAAATTTCTCATCTGTGATGCTGAGCCCCTTCAATGAAGAACAAATGAGCTTGGTCTTGTAGTATGTATGTGTATGAGGGGGGGAAATGGAGAAAAAAGAAAAGCTTGAAAGTAGACTGATGGATGTTAGTTTTGAACCTGGCTTAGTAGTGTGACATTATGAACTGTTAGTTTCTTTTTAAAGCTATAACCAAATACATTTCCATTTTCTGTTGCAGATCGTGGTTATTTTTCTTTTTCTGGGTTTACTTGGGCTCAGCCTTTATGGAACTACCCGGGTGAGAGATGGACTAGATCTCACAGACATTGTACCACGGGAAACACGGGAATATGACTTTATTGCCGCACAGTTCAAGTATTTTTCATTCTACAACATGTATATTGTGACACAGAAAGCAGACTACCCAAATGTCCAGCACTTACTGTACGAACTTCACAGAAGTTTCAGCAATGTGACATACGTTTTGTTGGAAGAGGATAGGCAGCTTCCCAAAATGTGGTTGCACTACTTTCGAGACTGGCTGCAAGGTAAGAGAGCACTGCACACATTTTTCTTAATTCTGCAGAACTAACTGTTGTTTGCGC